CCCCCCTCTGGCACTCCAGGCAAGACCCAAAGTCAGTGTGGTCTGAACAATCCCCCTCAGGCATTGTTGCCAGTGTCACGGCTGCTGCCATCTGCGTCCATTTTACACTCAATGTACTTTCTCTGCCTTTCTTCTGTCAACTTTCCCTAGTCAAAATCAGCAGGTCTTTTCCATATTCAGTTGGCTTGGAATTCTCTGTTCATTTCTTGTTCTTAACCACTGTTTATTCTTAGATACTGCTTTCACTCTGATTTCTAGAGAGTATGTTCCTCTCAAAGCTCCCTTAAATACCTACTACTCTTCCTTCTACTTAATACCTGCTCATACTGAGGGAGGTGGGAATAAGCAGAAGACCCTGAACATTCCCTGCTTTCTTGATTAAGCTCTAGCTTTATTCCTCCTTGTGTTTCAGCTATAGCCCTTCTTTTCCCCTGTAGATGTTATATTGTGAGGACCATATAACCTCACTCTTCCATCAAAGCTTGAGTATGTTTCTGTTTTCCTCACCCTGCTGCAGTGCTGCATCAGAACTGCTCAATGGCTAAGGTTCTGCTGCTCCTTCCCTACATGTAAGGACATTACTTCTATAGGGAATGGAGAACAGATGAATGTTAAAATAGCTTCAACAGTGTCTCAATTCTTCTTTTCTAAGCAACAAGAGAAAAGCTATTCTAGAAGAAAGGTTGTTCTCTTCATCAGTTTTCTCGGGGCCTTTTGGGATTCTTACATGGAAGTATAGCATCAGAATGCAAACATTCTGTATCTTACCAAGGCTACTGCTTGTAAAAGATACTTGTTTATTTCAAAGAAATGGTGATAAGGACAGAGAGTAGGAGAGGGAGAGGCGGAGTCAAAGAGACCCAGAGATATCTTCCATCCCCTGATGTGTGGGTCAGGCTGAAGTCACAGCCAGAAACTCCATTCTGGACCCAAGTGCTTACATCATCCTCCATGGGTATCATTAACAGGAAGCTAGATCAAAAGAAAATAGCTGGAACTGCAGGTGGCACTTAGGAGTTGTGTCCATTGTCATTATTACTTTGCATGATGCAGTTTTATAGGTATAGGCATTACCACTTTTTCCCACCCCATTCTCCCTCTATCAACTTCTGTCCTAATGTTATTACAATGGTTTAGCCCATCAGCAACAGTCACAAATGCAACCTTCTGTGATGTAAATGTTTATAATGGCATTGTAAGTATTGGCAATAGTGGAAAATCTAGTATCATATTGCAGGCTCTATCTACCAATCTTTATGAGTCTTCATTTTATTCAGGAATAGATATGCATACTGCAATATATCTTCACTTCTCAGTAAGCTAGTGTCCATTATACAGTTCAGCCATGTGAATACATGTTTACACATACGTATCTATGTATACATTGCTCTTGTGTTTTTCATGTAGTTTACCTTATATCAGAGAAAGCACACAATATTTGTCCTCTTGGGATTGGTTCATTTCATTGAGCATAATGATCTTAAATTGGGACTATTTTGTTATAAATGTTAGAATTTCATTCTTTTTTTTCAAAGATTTATTTTTATTATTTTTTTATTGGAAAGGCGGATATACAGAGAGGAGAGACAGAGAGGAAGATCTTCCGTCCCATGATTCACTCCCCAAGTGAGCGCAATGGCTGATACTATGCCAATCTGAAGCCTGGAGCCTCTTCCGGGTCTCCCACGCGGGTGCAGGGTCCCAAAGCTTTGGGCCATCCTTGACTGCTTTCCCGGGCCACAGGCAGGGAGCTGGAAGGGAAGCAGGGCTGCCGGGATAGAACCAGCGCCCATATGGGATCCCGGGCGTGCAAGGCGAGGACATTAACCACTGTGCCACCATGCCAGGCCCAGAATTTCATTCTTTTTAATGGCTGACCAGTATTTTATGAAGTAAATCTGCCAGTTTCTTTAACCATTCCTCTTGTGAGGGGCATCTGGTAGTGTCCATGTCTCCACTATTGTGGATTGTACTGCCGGCTGCTTTCTTCTTTTTTTAAAAAAAGATTTATTTATTTTTATTGGAAAGGCAGATATACAGAGAGGAGGGGAGACAGAGAGTAAGATATTCCATCGAATGGTTCACTCTCCAAGTGACTGCATTGGCTGTTGCTGCATCGATCCAAAGCCAGGAGTCAGGAGCTCTTCCAGGTCTCCCACACCAGTGCAGGGTTCCAAAGCTTTGGGCCATCCTCGACTGCTTTCTCAAGCCACAAGGAGGGAGCTGGATGGGAAGTGGAGCCGCTGGGATTAGTACCGGCACCCATATAGAATCCCGTTGGACATTAACCACTACACTATCTTGCCAGACCCTGTAGGCTGCTTTCTAAACTGTAGATTTTACTTCCTTTGGATGTGTGCACAGAGTGGAATAGCTGGGTCACACAGTAAATAAATTTTCAATTGTATTGCTATTCTACATACTGACTTCCATAGTGGCTGTTCTAGCCTGTATTCCCCTCAACAGTGGAGTGGTAGGACATTTTCCCATATCTAAGCCAGCAGGTGTTGTTAGTAGATTGCGAACTGTTGGCCGATTTCACTGGCATTATACGGAACTTCAATGTTGCTTTACTTGTATTTCCCTGATAGCTAGAGATCCTAAATATGTTTTTCATATGTCTCTGAGATGTTAGAATTTGCTTTTTTTTTAATGCCTTATTATTTTCTTACCCAAAACATGCCACTCTATTGCAATGGGTGACCTAATGTGCTGCAGCACAATGCTGACTCTACCCAAGACAGTATTAACACACAATCCTTAGCCATTTGTTTAAAATTCCCAAGTAAACCATTTTATCAGGTTATGTGGCATTCTTCAGGGTTTTATGAAGGATGAAAAACCTTAGATTATGTCTCTTTTGAAGTCATGAATATTTCTCAACTTCAAGTTTCCCATTTGCCCTTTATATCAGACTCCCAAGGGTTTAAAAAATCATTAATTTGAAATTCCTTCAGGTGTATTCTGATGTTGGTGCATGGAAGTTACTTTTTCCAGAGTTCTATAATTTGACAGAAAACAGAAAACCGCAGTCATATTTAGAGGTGAAATGCTGATCATTAAGATTCACTAATTAATTATGTGAGCACTCTTTTATTTTAGAAATAATGTTTTAAATTAACAAGGTAGTTTAGTTACAGCACAGCTTGGTCTCATCTTGATTATTCAAATACATGAATCCTGCAAAGGCTCTTTGCTTGTCTGCACAGATTTGGAATCTATGCTTTGTGTTTGCCAGTGCATTCCTTTCACCCATTCATTCCCTTGGATATGAACAGCTGGAGTCACTGTTCCTTAAACAAATCACAAAGTGAAAAAAAGGATACATGGGTGTGAGAGAGTGGGATAGATGGATTGTGATTCTGGTCAAAACCACGTGAAATAATGTATACATTTACTATGCATGAAAGGAAGACTGTTGAAGGTTGTCTCTTAATAAATTTAATTTTGTGCGTCTACAATACACATTCTTATCTAATGTTCCATATTGTTATTCTTGTCTCCTTTCTAGATATGAACAGTAAATCCTTTGCTTTACTTGAATGTTACATAAGCTTTATTCTACAAGTGATGTCATCAACTTCAGGTAAGAACAGCTAATTTTCCCTACTTAACCACAGCTTCTGACAGAAAGTAGAGTAGATTTCTAATATTTGGGCCAGCATGTAAAAATCACAGCCATCATCACTCCATCTTAATATCAAGGGAAAACCCCAAAAAACAAAAGCCTACAACTCCCCTTAGATCAATGAAAGAATTGAAGATATAGGGACTGTTGTCCACAAAGTTGGAGTTAAGGGAGGTGGATACAGAGGTATCTGTGGTAAGAGTCCTCTGAGGGAAACATCAATGAGGAATTTCCTCTGAGAAAATTCTAAAGTAATTACTGAATTACTGGATGCCCATCATGGACCGATCTGAAAGTTAAAAACTCCTTATAGTCCTAATCGTTGACAGGACACTTTTGTGCTTTAAAAAAAAAGGTTTTTTAAAACTTTTTTTTTATTGAAAATGCAGATTTACAGAAACAGAGAGCCAGAGAGAGCTCTTCTGTCTGCTGGTTCACTCTCCACGTAGCCACAATGACCAGATCAGAGTCAGTCCAAAGCCAGGAGCTTCTTCCAGGTCTCCCAAGCAGGTGGGGGTCCCAGGACATTGTGCCATCCTCAGCTGCTTTCCCAGGCCACAAGAAGGTAGCTGGATGGGAAGTGGAGCAACCGGGATATAAGTTGTTGCCCATATGGGACACCCCACACATGGAAGGCAAGGACCATGCCAAACCCACTTTTGTGCTTTTTTCCTAGTATTTCTCTCTGATTATCACTGTGAATATTATAGAGAAGTATATGCTCACCATAGAAAGGAAAGTAACTATTTTGAAATGTATCTTCACAAAAAGCCCTGTTTTCAGAAGAAGCTATGTCCTAAAGCCTGCATGCCTCATGGGTGTTGTCACACTTAATGCCATTCATTACCGTATTCTTCTTATACTTTGCTTTTTGAGGGTAGGACACATAATTCATTCTTCATTTACTTTTCTGTGTATTCAGTTCCTCCAAAATAGGGAATATATGGTTTCTAAAGTTGTCCTATTTTCATTGGGATTTAAGTATCGTAACTTTTATAGCATACAAACCTCTGTTCCTCATGACACTTTCCTCATCCCATCTTACAGCTGATGCCTGAAACTGCATCATTATGCATCACAGTTCCTCCACCATAAACAGATAAGTCTTTGAAATTCACCAGACGCTTAACATTATGAAAAACAAAATGTAGTTATAACTCAAGATTTCACTGATAACAACATTTAAAATAATACTGCTTTTTAAAATTTATTTTTAAGTGATGTGATAAAACCTAAGATTTATAAACCTTTATTACAATAGTAACATTCATTGATGATGTTTTTGTTGTTTTAAATTCCTATTTGGAAATTCAAAATAGCCACTTGAAATGGGCAATATTTGGTGTGTTCTAGTCAATGTATAGCAAACGGGATGCTGTTCGCTTTGACATATCTTGATCTTCTGTCTTCTTCCACAGAGAAGCTGACGGTGACCATGCCCGCGCAACATGTGGTGGCAATAGCAGGAGGACAGGCTGAACTCACCTGTCAGCTGTCCCCACCACGCAGTGCAGAGCTCATGGAGATACACTGGATCAGGGGTGATCATTCCAAACCTGTGTACCTCTACAGAGGTGGCCGAGAAGAAAACGGAGAAGCTGACCCGGAATATGTGGGCCGTGTAGAGTTTGTGAAAGAGACCATTGGAGAGGGCCAGGTGACCCTCAGAATTAATAATATCAGCATCTCTGATGAGGGATCATATCAATGTTCATTTGAAGATAATGGCTTCAGTGACATGGCCAGCCTGAACCTTAGTGTAGCAGGTGAGTGTGGAATATTGTACACCAGGGACCTAGTGATTCCACATGTTACAATATATACAAATCAATATTCATGTTTCCACTGTTTCTTGCTTCATTTTTTATATTTTAAATTCCATAATCAGTGAGTACAACTCATTTCTACTGTGAAAGACAATGCAGTTTGTCTGACTTGTAACTTAGACAGGCACTTACTAATTACCTCTGTGTTGGTTTCAGAGTCCAAGACTGAGACTCTTTTCCTTTCAATTTTCCAACTCAACCAAAATGCAATAACTAACTTAATGCTCTTTTCTGATTTCCACCAGCAATTGGCTTGGACACACAGATCCGTGTTCAGGCTGCTAACAATAAACGACTCTTGCTTGAGTGTGAATCTGAGGGGTGGTACCCACAGCCCAAAATGGAGTGGAGAGACAGCAGGGGAGAGGAAGTGCCACATTCTTCAATATCATACTCACAGGATGGAGCCAAACTATTTCACATGAAGATGACTCTTCTTCTCCAGAACAAATCACGGAACAGTATAACCTGCTGTATTTACAACTCATTAACGGCACATGAGAAAAAAATTAACATCATCCTAGCAAGTGAGTGCTTTGTCGTCTGAAGGGAAAGCAATTAGTGTTAAAGTGCATAGTACCTCGCTAATGTCAAATGTGCCTCTTCATAATGATTGTGGGTTTTGTTACTGAAGATGATGTCAGGTGCTATGAGGAGAACCTAATCCAAAACAAATATCTACAAAAATGGCAACCCATAAAACATTAGAGCTTTAAAAATGTTTAAATGTCATGATTTTATTATACCCTACTGATATTTGTGTATAAGGTTAACAAAGTATTAGCTCAGTAACTTAAAATAAATTACTAGTCTTCCAAATTATAATTTTTTGTATCCTTTTTTTAAAAGATTTATTTTTTACTGGAAAGGCGAATATACAGAGAGGAGAGACAGAGGGGAAGATCTTCCGTCCTATGATTCACTCCCCAAGTGAGCGCAACGGCCGATGCTATGCCAATCCGAAGCCTGGAGCCTCTTCCGGGTCTCCCACGAGGGTGCAGGGTCCCAGAGTTTTGGGCCATCCTGGACTGCTTTCCCGGGCCACAGGCAGGGAGCTGGAAGGGAAGCGGGGCTGCCGGGATAGAACCGGTGCCCATATGGGATCCCACCGTGCCTGCCCCTTTTTTGTATCTTTTTAAAAAAGGTTTATTGATTTTTACTGCAAAGTCTCATTTACAGAGAGAGACAGAGAGAAAGATCTTCCATCCACTTTTTACTCTCCAAGTAACCACAATGGCCAGTGCCCAACTAATCCTGAGACAAAAGCCAGGAGCTCCTTCTGGGTCTCCCAGGTACCCGGTCCGAGGTTTTGGACTATTCTCTTCAGCTTTCCCAGGCAACAAACAGGGAGCCAAATGGGAAGTGGAGCTGCCAGGATACAAACTGGCACCCATATGGGATCCTGGCATATTTAAGTTGAGGACCTCAGCCTTTAGGCTATCACACCAGGCCCTAGTTTTTGGATCTTAAACATATGTAATTATACTTCACAAATTTTGGTGAAACATGAATTAATTACTTGTAAGGAAAAGCTTTGCCTGATATCTTAACAATATCTGGAGCTAATACCATCATTCAAAGCTTTCTGAAAATTCCATAAAGTGGGATGTTATTATAACAATTTATGTAAACACATAATTAGTGAAGCCATTCAAGCTTCTTTTGTCTCTCACTAGTAGTTATGTATTTTGCTTTCTTCACAAAAGAAAAAGACCCAAGATCTAGTTTCACTTCTTCTGTATCTTGCATGCTTTTTTATTGTTGATAATCTCCTGAAGTTAAAGACAGTAGCATTGTGCTTTAGCCTGGTCTCCATGGGACTAAGTCTGCCTTACCATTAGTCAACAGCCTAACCGGGAAACCTCATGTTATATGGTCTGATTTACAAGTTGCGCTCACTCCCTAAATTTCCCCCTCCTCCCCCCAGGAGATGAACTTTTTGGACATCTCATTTCAGCCTTCAGATAAATGCTGCATCAAGACAAGTTGGTCTACTTCCAGTCTTTATCTAGGCTTCATACAAACACACACACACGCACACACACACACATGCACACACACAAGAAGTAAATACAAAACTTGACAGAGTTCTGCCTTATTAACTTCAAATGCATAATCCAATGAGCTCATGTTTTCACCTTAACGATTTCCAATTGTTCTGTGTTTTCTTCCAGGGGCTCTATTTGCTCAGGACCACATTTGGATGATAATTTTGACTTGTTTATTATGTACCATATTTGTTATAGCTGCTGGGCACATTGTCTCTCTGTGCATTGAATCAGGTAACTGATGGATTGAGGGTGGAGCCAGTAGGACATCTACTTCAGCCTGATGCTCACATCAGAAAGGGGCTTTAAGTGAAGCTAAGCAACTTTTGATTTCAAGATGTGACTAACAAACTTGAGTTATGGCTTGTCTCTCACTTTCAAGGTGTTGAACTTTAGACCTATAGTTTATAAACTGCACAAGGCAATGAGGATTTTAAAAAGGCACTGAGAGACAGTGCAATATTCTCTTGACGTCTTCAATGTCACAGCTATTCCTGAAAACAAAAACCAGTCAGCATCCATTCAATCAAAATGAAGTGGTTCTAATCTCTGCTAAATCAAAATGCTTTCTTGAAAAATGGATTCTGTGAGTCTTGCTGTATAATACCTTTAGTTTGATCATAATATTCCCATTTATGCAGATTAACATTAGTGTTTGAGATTATAACTGCATCCCTGAAAGATCCTGGGTAAAAATATGAGAAACACTTACATTAAACCAATAGGGTCATTTCAACAATACCATTTCTGCTCATTTTATAGCTAAACTAAATGAACAAATCATTTTTCCAAAACAGTGCAGTGTAGACATCATTTATTTTTAAGAACATCCTTTGTGAAAATATGGCGATGAAAACATGTCATGCATAGTGAAATAGAGATAATATACTAAAAATAATGTAAATGAAGAGAAGGAGTGATCTAATACCAGTAATAGAAGGTGTAATAGATGTAACAAATAGATAATAGTAACAAGATAATTTAGGAATGATAGGGAAGGGTAAAATTTACTTTTGAATCAAAGACTCTGAGTCAAGTAAGTTACAATCAGTTTTAAATTTTGTCATTTTTAAAATGTTTTACAGCATCATTTTGTTTTTCACAATTTTGCAGATGATGATATAATGAATCACATAGGTTTTAAGCGGCAGACCCACAATTGGACAACAGAGCTGGACCTTAAATATCATGCCCTAGTCATTAAGGCACTATTTCCAGTGTTTGGTTTCTTGATTGTGCTTATATACCTTCACAAGTGAGGAAGTCATTTAATCATGAGAAAATTCATTGCAAAGTGATTATGGGAACTTTATTCTCTGTAAATACCAAACTAATTCACAAATTCTTTGATGATGATTTTGGAAGCACAGACAATAAGTGTGCTTCCCATATGCACGTTTTCCAGACTTGAGTTCTGGACCACACTACAGAAGATTAACTGGAAGTATCTCTGGTTATTACTCTACAAATTTGTCAGTCATTTTCCTGTGGAGAAGAGGCATTTCAGGGATAGACAGTCCTGCTTTAGTAACAGCTGGGAAGACATCTTTAACGATGTCTGTCTGGTTGATGGGAACAAGCCGCTCAATATGGTAATCCAAGCTGAAGGATATAACATGTATTTCCCACACTATTTTATAAGGCAAAATGTTTAGCACTTGAAGTCTGTACGTATAAGACAGCTGCTTTTCTTTCAACCAAAGCCATGTCACCAGAGCTGCCTCTGTCCAGATCACATATCCCCAGAATTCCCACACTTTTTTGGGGGTCTGCTATGGGCTCTCCCCAAGTCCCCAGAAATATTAATTTTGCATTAGGCTAGCTATGTGAATTAGGAAAGGAAACTCCTCAACCTCATGAGTTCTTCAGATCCAACCTCACTAACCTGCCATCACTCTCAAAGCAAATCACAGCCTGAGGAGTGCTAAAGTTCATCGGGCATGGAGCAATGAGTCCCACTTTCTCACCTAGTTCTTGGGTGGTGATGCCCTACAGTCTAGTGTTCTTGTTCATTCTGAACCTTCTCTGTTTTAGGACAAACACATCGAGGCCTTCACTTTTTGAGCTCATGGATTATCCATCTTTTGTTTTTGGGGTTGTACTCTGGAACAATAGTAATAATCCTTGCTTTATATCTGAAATTCCGGAACAGAGGTAAATGGGGTTCATTGGGATGGGCTTTCCCATGGCTATTCTCTTTTTCCTGTAAACATGCTTCCTAGTGGCTGTTTAGCCAAAGCTGTATGGCCTTTCCATCATTGCTGGGAGGATCAGTGGGTGGATGACGGGTTGGAGGATCAGGTTCTGGTATCAGCGTGGTTGTGGGTGTCGAGGATCGAAGCTGCTTGGATGGCTGCCAGTGTTTCCAGGTGTGCTAAGGGCAGAGTCCTTCTGCTCCAGGAGAACCACGACACTGGCTTCAGAAATCATGGTTCACTCAGCTACTCATTTTCTGTAAATACTTTCTGAGTCCATTAAATGTTGGCACACATCTATGACTGTAGCTCAATGCCTATTGTCTATGTGAGACTTAGAATTTATGCTGAAAATCTGAGTTAAAATATGAATTTTTGCATCAAGTTATCACAATAACAATTTCAAATGTATGTATAGTTTCATGAGTTTCATGAAGCATTGATATCCTTTCTTGGATCTACTATGTACTAAATGTGTTCATTTGGAGAATGAAATTGATGAATTAACATGGTATTCCAAAATCCCATTTTGAGATTTAACAATTGCTCATAATTTAGAGATTTATAAGGGACATGTCTACACAGGACAATCATCACTAACCAAGACAAGGAAATGTCTTATTTATTATATTCTAAGTCACAAAGAGAGTTTCAGAACACTTAGGTTGCTTTCATTAGAGCTGACATACACTTCTTATCTCCTTCTAGAAAGGCCTTAAATCACAACAGACATAGTCCTGTATTATAATCTTCTCACAGAAAAGTTCATCATCTAACAGACCAGTAATAAAAAGTCATATCCCAATATTATTTTAAGAAGTCAATCATCTGGATACAATGTTCAAACAATATAAAGCATCTACATGGAAACATCCCTGGATATCTTCATTTCAATTATAAGCATTCAATTTTAAGAATTCCTTTGGCGTTAACATGTACAGCCAAGGAGCTAGGACCAACTAGTTCAGTCATTGTAACACCTGCCAGATGCCAAAAAATCAGTCCCACTTGTTCAGTGCTTTTCATGTTCAGTGACTAGATCTACCTAGCTATGGTGAGCAATTCCTTTTAAATGATTTTCCCAGAGTTAAGATTGAACTTATGTTAGTTGTTTGTCTGCTTCTATAATTAATTGCTATCATCAGCAATGAATGAGAGGAATTGTGTGCTCTATGCATTGCTATATTTGATTTTGTTAGTCTTTATAATTTCAACAAATCGTCTTAGCATTAATTTGATTATTCTGTGCTTTTTATATCTCTGTTTTAGCTAATGTTTTCACTCATACTGATTTCCATAAAGGC